TTGGTATCGCGCTAATTGTCAAAGGTAAAACCAAAACCTAAAATGTTGCAAATTGGTATCGCGCTAAATATTTTGACGTTTTAACCTCACATGTAACCTTGGGGGAATAGATTAACCTTTGCAAGGTCAAGGTTTGTGTGGCAGTTAATGGAGAGTAACTTTTCACTACGTTTATCGTATATAAAAGATGTTCCACGGTTACTTAAATGTTTTGGAAAGTGTTTATGAGGTGGATGTGGCCTAAGAACGGGCTTTAAATAAAAGAAAAGCATAAAAAGACGACCACATTTAACATGTCTGAGGAGAAATTCCGCAAACGATATACCATTTGTCCACGGAATTCATTTCAGGATTGGTGGAAGAACTATGCCTACATATTCTCGTTAAAGGACGGTCTGTTGCATTGGATGTGGAGACAAAGGTAAGGGTTAAGTGGAATCCGATAGTTCTCAGTTTTGCATAATAACCAAAATGTCTATGCTGTGTAAATCATTATTAATTTTGTTACAGATTTTAATAGCTCGTATTGTTTTTACGACTGGGGCGTACCTGTGACCCTCATTGGCAAGCGCTTATCACCCTTTCCCAAGCCAGTGTCAGAAAGGCACAAGCGGTAGCTGCTTCAAATAAACCAGTTATTATGAATAAATATGCAGCTTTCCTAAAAGGCATGCCGAAAGAGATGGTATTAAAAGGCGGTGAGAAAATAAGCTTTACAATGTACATCATATTTATTAGTTCTTGTCTTATTTCCTGTTATTATTATCAAATAAAAATGACAGATATAGGTAAAATATGTATAGTTGTATAAAAATATATTACAAGGTTACAATTTATCTCTTTTAACACTTGACTTTATACAACATATCGTCCCCTTACAGTGAAGCCTCACATATGCATTTTCAGTTTGTTTTTACTGATTTTTGTTGAATAAAAATTAATAATGTAATAATATAGTATCTAAAAGAGGTATAATTAAAATGCTAACTACACACATTATTGCATTTACTATACTTCACACCATATTTTTATCTTCATCCTAAAAAATTACATAGAAATATGTGGTATTCATTCTAAGATGACGATGTATACCTATTGTAATTGTTTATTATCTTAATATCTAAATTGACGTATACTTTTAAGAGGTTGAAATAAAAAAAAGAGTGTATTTTTAGTTTATTTATTGCCTCAATCTACCCCAAATCATCCTTCATTTCCAGAGCGAGCTTGCTTTTGATTCTTCAAAGAAGTCTGAAACAAAAATATGTATATAGTAAGATTGGAGACCTAAATTTAAGACTGTGCCATGCCTCTCATGAGAGTAGTGACAGATAAAGCAGGATGGGTATTTATATACATACCGTATGAAGCCAACATAAACGCCAGAATGTTTAGGGGCCTTTTCAAAATACATTTAAAAAAATGTTTATATCACTGTGGAAATATAAAGGGGACAAAAGTCTACAGATTAGACCTTCGTTCCTTACGCTCTTTCAGATTTCCACAATTGAACATATCAGCAGCAGGAATTAAGAAAACATGTTGAAAACAAACCTGTCATTCTTGTTAAATAGTCTATCAAAAAGGTTAACTGCAGGCACCAACTCGGTAATTGCTTTGCAAATGGCAGCTACGGATTGGGCATGCAGATCATCTGCTTTGGCAGAAATAATAGCTGCCTCAGCCTGCACCCTGCCAGCATTCACTTGCTGCAAGAATGCTTCGCATGCTTGCTGCTCCTCAATGCATAAGAATTCTACCCGGCTCTGCTCCAACGCTCATCAGCTCGCTGTCAACGAAATAATAGATGTGATGGAATAAAGAATGGGAAAGAATTTGCTCAAATTGAAAGTTACTTTGTTTTTTAATTAATAATAAAGAGTGAGAAAGTTACTTTGTTATTGAATTGTATGTTTGAAGTTATTTTGTGCTAGAGTTGGTGTCCTTTAGGAAGGTTGGTAGGGCCTCTGCCGCAGTCGACGTGGCGTAGATTCTCACCCTGCTTTTCATACCATTCCATACCTGAATAACAATAATAACATTGCATATTATAGTGATATGAGTTCTGGTACAATAACGGTGAGTGATCCACTCACTGTATCCTATTACCTCGCATTATAGCTCACCTTTTGGGATCTATTGCGGGGCCACAAAATAGCCACACACTCGCACCAAAGGCGTGCTGATAACACGCGCGAACAACGCCGAGCGAAGTCATTCTCAAGCCAAATCTCTGTGCGATTCGAACTCCAGCAAAGATGGAGCTGGCTTACAGTGGTCGCTCGCCGTCCGACCGCATCCACACTGGCTGAAATACGAGCATCATTATTAATTCTACATTGCTAACATTTCGAAATTAATAGTAGTTAGCGTACCTATTAGATTGTATAAAAAGATACTATTTTATTAAATAGAATATTAAAAAAGGAAAACAATGTGTAGGTACTTGCCTCTGCGTGTTTTATCTACAACAACAACACACTAAATTCAATTAATTTGATTCAAATCACAACACATATGTTTGTTTACAATAGAATTTAATGACATTTCTTTTACACACTTTTTTAAATCGCTCTTTTATAGACTTGAATTCGTAGATATTGACATTTCAGTGCGTTTTACGGTAAAATTTAGTCGGTTTTAGGAAGTCAAGGCACGTCTCTTAAAATTTAATACGAGGTTATAGTTTGAGGTTAATTTGAGGTTTAGGTTCATTAAAACTGATAGCGCGATTGCATTTTGTGCGTCGGTAGAACCATTAATTAACCAAAACCATAACCTCAAATGTTGTAAGGTTAAACCTTGCGAAAATAGCGCGATTGGCCCCCTGAGCGCAGGGAGTTATCTCCATAGATTTAGTATAAACCTTTACCTCTGTGTGCACTCTTGCAGTGCTCGGAACACGAAATACGCATATTGCTGAATATGTTTGTTCAGTTTCGTTGTTCCTGTGCACGAGTTTTTTGTATTGTATGTGTCTATATGTCTGTGGCTAGATCTATTCATAACTTGAAGTTGTTTATCACAGACCACATGCATACTTTTCTTTCTTCCGTGTTGTTTATTGTGTATCAGATTGTCTGTTTACCTGCTTTTTGTTTGATTTAATATATATTTAGGGGACTATAGGTTTAATTATAAGTTAATTTTTAAAATATGTTTTTGTTTATAACTGTTTGTCCTTCAATAAATAAAAAAAAAAATTTTGTTCAGCACTTAGAGATGTATGCCCCATACTGTCAAAGTAGCTAAAATAAATCTATGTAGCGTGTTCTAAACTTTTATATTTTTGAAATTGCGTACACTGCAGAACTGATGTGGGAGTACACATGCAAAGGGATATAATGTCAAGAACACGTTTACCTTGGAACTTTAGAGCCAAATTAAGGCACAAGGAACTTGTCAACTTATATGTCTGATGGGACCTCAGAGGATGGAAAAAAATAGCCTAAGAATGGGACTGTAAGAGGCGAATAAGGATTGTCAGGAGTGTGGCGCATGAGTCACTTACATACCGTGTAACTTCTGCTGTCCCAATTTTTTTCGTCCCATATAATGAAATGATCCCTTCACGAAACTGAGTCAATAAGCTGTAAAAAAAAATTTTGATCAATTTTGCTCATTTTTATGGACAAATCAATTCACGGCCGTTTGCTCCTACTTCGATTCTTTTTTGTTGGAACGGAGGAGGTATTTCAGTAGTGGTCACATTAAAATTTAAAGAAAATATTCCAGGTGTAAGGGTGGCAAATTTGGGGAGAATCCGGTAACAAATGGATTTTATCCACTTACCATTAACCGATTTTTTTATAAAAAGGTTATATTTATAATATTTAGTAACAATAACATTAACATTAACAATTAACAATTAACAATTAACAATTAACAATTAACTATTAACTATTAACTATTAACAATTAACAATTAACAATTAACAATTAACAATTAACAATTAACAATTGACAATTGACAATTGACAATTGACAATTGACAATTAACAATTGACAATTGACAATTAACAATTAACAATTAACAATTGACAATTGACAATTAACATTAACAGTAACATTAACATTAAACTTTATCGTTCGACCGCCAATGGCTGGATTGTGGACGTTTGGTATACTGCTAAAAGAGAGTAGTTACCTTGTCAGTGATTTGGAATCGACCGCCATTGCAATTTTTAACCGACTTCAACAAAAAAGGAGGAGATTCTCAATTCGACTGTATGTTTTTTTGTATGTATGTTACGCGATAACTTCGGCATTTGGGAACCTATTTTCATGATTCTGTTTTTGTTGGAAAGAGGTTACCTCCATAGTGGCCATTTAATTTTAAAGAAAATCATACATCTCTAAGGGTGGCTGTTTAAGCATGGTGATTCATTTTTATAAATAGCGCCTAAATTTTATTCTAAGAAGCAATTATTTTAATGGTTGATTTTGCTATTCTCCAATTCAAGGCGTTTTTCTCTCTCAATATACTTCGAGTAGTGAGAACCGATTTTTATTATCTCCTTGTCAAATCCCCTGTAGTGGCGAACTAGGGGATGATCCAGGTTCGCGCACTTTTCGGTAACTGATTTCAATAAACTTGGTAATTATATTATTCCACGTACTTTAGAAGTCGGCTTTTTTAGTCCTGTTTACTGAGATTATTCAGTATTCTGCCCTTCAATGGCGAGTCGATGGCGTAGTTTACTAGCTGTTTGTTTGACGTTTCTTTCCAAGGTTTGAGTGCTTATGTCGGCCGTTTCCTCATGCTCCTACTGGTAGGAGCACGAGGACTAATATGTCCATATGCTCCTATTGTGACATCGTAAGTAATTAGCACACTGAACGATTGTCAAGCTATATATTATAAAAAATGCATTTATTTGATATGAAACAAGATTTTAAATTCAATTAATACCAAATGACGGGACGAACAAGTCGTGCGCCTGATGGTAACGGATACGCTTGTCCATAACAGTTGCAGTGTCACTCAGAGCTTTACTTTATCGCAAATATCTAAGGGTCACTGGTAAGCCCGTCACCCTGGGACATGAGTTGATAAGTCCCATGTGCCTGTAATTTCACCAGCATTAATGAAGATATGTAAAGTAATTTCCATGGTAGTTTTAGTAAGGCAACATCGAGCGTTAAGGATCGTTACACAGTTCACTTCTGCCTTTCGATTTGGATGAAGCAATCAAATTGATCCATGTAAACATAAAAGTGAATCATTCAATGTTCAATGGCATTGAAGAAATTGAACATCTTCAATGCGGTTGAACGAGAAATGAATGTTTAAATACATGAATTGAACGATTCACTTTTGACATTCAGTCGTGCGCGCCGCAGTGTTGAGGAAAGATGTGTAAAGTCAACGACAAAAATGGTCGTTAAATGGAAAGAGGAGCATACGCCTCTGTTTTTGGAACATTTTAAAAAGTATCCCTGTCTATGGTATTGTAAAACGAAGGGTTATAAAAAACGAGATTTGAACATTGACGGCGTAACCAAAGATAACATAAAAGCAACTCCCAAACCCACGACCTCGTTCGAAGACATCTTTCGAGAAATATGAATTGAACACTCACCGTATAATGTACAGGCAAAGAAAGTTACGTACAATGACATATCAATCGTCGGACACAATTATGAGTGTTTACATAAAAATAAAGTAGGATGTACTTGTACTAATCTAGAATATGTTGAACAATTTAAATATTTAGGTCTCATTATAGAACGCAATTTTAGTTGGAAAATACATGTTAGTGAAGTGTGTATGAAATTAAATAGAATGCTTGGTAGGTTTTTTCTCATTAAATTGTATATTGGATAAAAAAACATTGTATATGGTGTATTATGCGCTGGCAGACTCGCTAATAAGCTATGGATTAAATGTATATGGTCGGACCTTTGCTAGTTATCTTAAAGGAATCAGAAAGTTACAAATTAGTCTGATAAAACATTTAGTGTGCAAAAAAGTAATAGAAAAATGTAATCACACAGAGTACAATGACTTATTTAGTTACTGTAGGGTCATACCTATAGAAGTTAAGAGTAGGTATTTGATAGTGTTGGAAAATTACTATAGCGATAATTATAAAGTTATGCTTAAAAATAAGTACATGACAAAAAGAGTAAGGCAGGGTAAACTAGTGCAGTTTAAAGCAAATAATTATTATGGAAAAAGATGTACACGCTATTTAGTTCCAAAAATATATAACGACATTGATTGGCTTAGAAATGATACAAAATTAAGTAAATATGCACTAAAACGTAAGTTAAAGGCGTACCTCTTAAAATAATCTTTATCTTTTATTTAATAAGTAAGTAGTTCAATTAATACTGTATAATGTTAAATATAGTAAAGTAGGTATTATTAAGTAAGAGTGCACATGTCGCCAACAAACTGCACAGCAGTTTGGCGACTTTTTGTAATAAGTAATACGTTGTAATTTTGAATAATAAATAAAATAAAAAAAAAACAGATCACTTTCCAGATACTTAGTGATTGAATGAATGAATGTCATCACTGCCATTCCACTGACACCCTTTTTAGACTGAACTCTCACGTGTACCTACGTGACATTGGCGGAATTGTGAAAGACCCAGAACAAGCCACTAATAAATAAGAAGAAGAAGATGAGAAGAGTCTCATCTTCTTCTGTACAGTAGAGACTGTCATTGCAACTAGATTTTTACTAGAATAATATTACTATAATTGCAATATTCAGTGGTCTATCAATGGAATTAGAATGACCAGTAGTTATGTGTTGGATAAATGTAAATAGCGGCATAACGGTTAACATGCTGGACTGATACGCAGATGTCCCGGATTCGATTCCCGTGCCGGGAGAAATATTTGTATGGGCTACAATTATATCTCTACCCATATTCGCGGGTGGAATTTGTGGTTGCCTGTGTGTGACATGTGTGTCCATGGCACCCATAATACA